AAAAAAAAAAAAAAAAAAAAAACACACACACATGGCAGATACAAGTCAAACTTTGTGTGAATGCTTCGATTTGTCTGCAGAACTAAAACAGGTGACCTGTACACATCCAGGGTCTAAACACACAGCCAACCTGGAAGTGCTGATAGTCCTTGAAGAATGGAATATGTGATGAAAGAAAAGATATGTTTGTGATGTAACTGATTTATGCATACCTTAATCCAGGTTTCTGGCCAATTGTGATTAAAAAAAAAACTGTATTTTTAGTCAAAATGAATTCACAAAATATTCCAATTGACATTCACTAATCTTGCCTAGCTGATGACTGTCTTTCATGGTCTAACAGTGACCATGCAGAGATCAATTTCATGACTAGTTTTTTTTTTATTTGAACAAGATGTCTTCCAAGAAAATACACCTAGATAACCTAGATCTGGAGATCCTTATGCTACATATTCAAAACAATTATGTATAATATTGGGAAGTGGAAGTCAACCCCTAGATTAATGTATACTTTGAAATGTAAAAGTTTGTGTGTGTGTGTGTGTGTGTGTGTATGCATGTGTGTGAGACAGTGAAATGCGTGCTGAATGCCTAATGCCACTTAAAGTGCATCAAGTAGACTGGCATCTCTTTGAAAATGTCATCAGATCAGAGAGGTGAGGAGGCTTACATAGAGAATCAGCCATGCATCGATGAATGTCAAGCGAGAAGCTTCAAAGAGAAGCAATTCTTTTAATGCTAGATCAATAAAATATAGACACAGATTCATCTTTTGTGAATTCTTCTATCCCTGGAAAATCCCTTTCTCCAATCTGCATCTAATCCCTTGAAAAAACTGGTGGACTAAGGGCATAAAAGCACAAGTTTCTCCAGGGGATGAACTCTAAACGATAATGGTAGCAAGCATTTTTGTCGTGTTTGCAAACATATTTGTACAAAAGCACATGTACCAATACCCTGGGCAATTCCCGGAGACAAACAGGAGCTAGTTTGCCAAAAAAACAGATGGTTAAAAGCTCCTTTTGTGAAGGTGAAGTGGAGTGAAGAAAATTATCCTCTCAAACAAGGGTATTGGTACTTTTACAACACCAGAACGACTGTGCAATTTTTCTTTATTGTCTAAAAATGTACACAGCTAATAAAATGTTACCATATTTCCTTTGTACATTTTAAATGAAAATGGCAATTTTTAGAGTTTGAAAGATGCTGTATTGCCCTAATTTTTTGGAGGTCTAAATGATATAATATAAAAAGATCAGATTAATGTGAAGGCTGGTGAATCACCAGCATTTTGCAACTGGAGTTTCCTGCATCACATGCGTAGCTGCATCTGCTGGATTAGATACTGTTTGAGGAGTTCCTTACTTGATGGCTAAAATATCAACAAAATTTCCTAAGTTGACAGCTAAATTATTACCAAATGCACTTTAGTTGACGGCTAATTTTTTAACAAGACTTTGTAAGTTGATGGCTAAATTATTAATATAATTTCATAGCTTATAGTTAATTCTTTAAAAACACTTCATAGTTTGAATACTAAATTGAAGCAGGTCGAAAGATTGCATGTCATAGTCTCTTTTTATGTACAGACACAGATGTGTCTGTACATATAGCCATCATCTGCGTCTGTCGTCGCCGTCGCCGTCGTCGCCGTCGTTGCCGTCGTCGCCGTGCACTTTTACCGATAACACGATAAGTGGAAAACTGTTTTTTCTTTTGGCTTGAAACTTACAGAACTGATGAATATTCATAATACGCAAGTCAAGTTCGAAAATCAGCATGATCGGGTCACTTATAGGGAATTTATGCTGTTTTTTCACTTTTTTCAGCATATATGCAGCACCGATAACACGATAAGTGGAAAACCGTTTTACCTTNAATAGAATACGGCAAAAAGTTACGGATATGTATGAAAAAATATTGTGTTTAAGAGTAGTAAATCCCTCATCAAGTAAGGTGCACCCTTCATCAAGTAAGGTATAGGGGAGCAATCTGTCTAGAAACACCAATTCAGTGAGTCAGCATTTATTTTTTGCAATAACATATCTAAACACCTGTGCAACCATTGATTTGTTTGTTTTCAGAGTTATTCTGGTTTGTGAGCCAAAATGAAGAAAGGTTGTGTTTAGGATTTGACTTCCTTCATCCCCATAGCTTTTTTACTTCATACTTGCAGCTTTTAAGCAAGCTCAATCTTCATTCCTTCATTTCTGCAGTTTGACAGCTGAATGAAAAAAGTCTAGCTGTGTAAAAAGTATTAAAAATTCAAAATGGCCAAAACTGTTTTGCCAATCTCACCTGTATAATCATATACTGTGTTTAACTTTAATTCAAACTCTTATAATTAAGTGAACTATTTTGAAAGCAACCCCGCAGTTGGCAGATATTTGAAGTGGATTTTGTTGTTATGCACATGCATTATGACATGATATGTCAAAATACACGTATGCTGCTTTCTATTGTGAAAGCATGATAGATGTGAAAATGTTTTAAGGAGTGTCAGACTCAATGGATGTAGGACAATAAAAGTCTGTTTCAAGATACAATTATCCACCTTCCATTAAACTTAGATATTCAACTGTCGATTCTATTTCTTAGTCCTTCTTGAAAGAAGTTAAGTACTATACCAAACTGAAGAGAATCACTGTTCTTGCTGATGCTGATAATTACTCATTACTATTTTATTCCTAATTTCAGAATGGAAAATGCACGAACAAAAGCAGAGCAAGCCTTAATGGTTGCACAACAAGCCCTCAGAGATTCCGACCTGGCAAGACTCTGTGGAAAACAGTATGCCCCAGAATTTCACCAGCCAGGTATATGTCACTGAAGTTTTTTTTTTTCACTCCATTATATGTTATAACATGAGCAGAAGCATTGTGTTAGCTGTGACAGTGTGCACAATAGTATTGTTTTCTGTTGTGCTAGCTACCACCATATGTGTTCATTTTCTCCATTATGTGTAGCTACTAGTACTGTTTTTTAATTTGTGTCATTGTGGGTGATCGTTATTCTATTTTGTCACACCGTGGATGGTTTCAGTGTTACAAGAAGTAGGCTGTGACAATGTTAATGCTGTTATTCAGTCAGTTTCATTGTTGTGGGCCATGATCAGGTAATGTGAGGGAGAAGTTTTGGGTTTCATTGTTTAAGATGTGGCAGGGTGAGTGACTCTGTTGTGTTAGCTGTTCAATTGTGGAAAGTGTTATTTTACTTTATTGTGCTAGTTGTGATAAAGTGGAAGGTGTTTTGGTTTATTATTGGCCATGGCAAAATATAAGACATTATTTTTTTTCCATGCTGTAAGTTAATTATATGTCATTATGTTGGGTTGTTACAATATGGATACTATAATTGTTTCACGGTCAAAGATCCAACATTTTGTTCCTTGTAAAAGCAGTAATAATATGGAATTTGCAAGGTGTTAAGAGCTGTTGAGAGAGAGAGAGAGAGAGAGAGAGAGAGAGAGAGAGAGAGAGAGAGAGAGAGAGAGAGAGAGAGAGAGAGAGAGAGAAAGTGTGTGTGTGTGTGTGTGTGGGGGGGGGGGGATAAATGGAAAAAACAAAACTGCCAATTTATAAAAAATGAAAAATTGAGATTGTCAGAAATTT